ATTCAGTCTATTGGTATGTTTCACTAACCTTCATATCTGAAGTGATATCAGAGACAGGTTTAATGAGTTGCAGCTCTCAAATAAGTTGCTACAATTGGACCTAAAAGGCTTTTCTCAGGCAAGTCCAGATATCCACTTTCCCTTATCTGCTTACTTTCAGGGGCCTTCCAGAGAACAAATGGCTGGTCCTTTTCCAAAGGGACAGATTTTCCTATCTGATGCTTTTGTTCTCCAGCAAGAAAAGAAAATGAAAACTGTTGTCTTCCCCCAGGATATTGAATCAGAGTAAACTGAAGCTTTGTGTATTTCTTTTGTAGTGGTTTCCTTCATATAAATATGAATAGAGTGATTACTGAATATCAGAGGTTTGGGCTAGAGGTAAGGCATCTCTTTGATATGCAGAGCAAAATGAAATGGTAAAACCTCAAATGTTAGGATGCTTGAGAGAGTTTCCTGCAAGACCTGTCAGGTCTCAATTTACTTAGAGTAATGCCTTAGGCCTTCTGTGTTGTTAATAGCCTTTAGGGGAAACTATGTTGGAGGCTGTATCAATCGTCGGACGTTTTCCTTGTTTCATACAAAATTCCCTGTACCCTTATTTTTCTACCAGAATATTCTAGGTTAGCTGGGCAGGCTTAGTACTGATGCCTTAAAAGATATGTTACCTGCCCGTCCTAGTAGACACTTTCCAAATAATAGTAATAATACTTTGTGTTCTGAAACCTAATTTTCTTTCTTTCTTTCTTTTCCCTCAACTTTTATTTTTAGGTTTAGGGAGTTACATGTACAGGTTGTTTTCCCTGAAGCGGGTAAATTGTGTGTCACTGGGGTTTGGTGTAGAAATGACTTTTGTCACCCAGGAAGTAAGCATCATACCCAATTGGTATTTCCTCAATACTCACCCTCCTCCCACCTTCCATCTTCAAGTAAGCCAATTTTCTATTTCTTTTTTTTTTTTAATATTACATTTTGATTTTTCACCTGGACACGGCCACATTGAGTTTAAGGTATTCTCTGAAATAAATCTGTTCTGGGTATTTTATGGGTAAGTTTTAGAATTTCAGGCCAGGTGCAGTGCCTCATGCCTATAATCTCAGCACTTTTGAAGGCTGAGACAGAAGGATCGCTTGAGCCCAGGAGTTCAAGATAGTGTTTTTATAAAAAATAAAAATAAATAAATTAAAAAGCCAGGTGCAGTAGTAGTGTGTGGCTGTAGTCCCAGTTATCCAGGAGGCTGAGATGGGAGGATCACTTGAGCCCAGAAGGTGGAGGCTGCAGTGAGCCATGATCATGCCACTGCACTTCAGCCTGGGTGAAAGAGCAAGACCCCTGTCTCAAAAAAAAAAAATAAAAAGTTACAGAATTTCTACCTTGAAACAGAAGCCAAATTGGGAATCAAGAGGTGAACCACTTAAAGTCACCTGACAAATCAAAAACCAACTTGAAAATTAAGTAATTTCTCTTTCTTACTTGCTGCAATGAAATCTAAAATATATGTTGCTGTGGTTGAGATGATTTGTCTTGGATCAGCATCATTCTAAAAAGGGTAAATTTGACAGTGAGGTTTATTGTACATTTCTTCCTTTCACTTTTTCAAGTTTTCACAACCAAAAGAAATGAATAGTGTGGCAACTGGCATAGAAATCTCTTACTGATCGGGCCATAAAATGGGAGCTTTCAGAAACAGCCTGTTCTCCACAAAGTAAAATAATGTAAATGTTGTCTAAACTGTTTAATGCTAGACTTGAGAACTATAGTTTTAAAGCTGCTTTTGCTAGGGCTTTCTTATAATTTATAAATATTAGGAATTTTCAAATGGGTTAGCACAAGACAGGTAAATCTCACACCCTCCTCTGTGTTCCTATAGCCACTTTTATATACATCTTGTTATAATTACTCTTTTTCATCCAGTAGCCTATGGGTTTTTCGAGGGCAGTATTCATGTCTTGTCTTCCTGCCTCACAGCAGAGTGCCTTGTGTGTGATAAAGCCCCTAACACACTGGATTAATAAAAACCATAGATCATCCTGCCCAGCCTGTTTGGGGAAGTATTTGTATATATACTTCAGTAGCTCAGTTGTTCAGCTCTGTGCCCAGCATCTCTGCTCAGAAGGCAAGAACAAGGGAGTCTCTGAAATTCCTTTGGCTGTTCTCATTAGCAGCTCATTCAGTTCCATTCAGTGAACCCTCTGAGCATCTGTCCCACTTCAGGCCTTGCTCCACATGCGGGATTCGCCAAGATGAATCAGAGGGCCTGCTTTGGGCAAAGCTCTCTGGGCCTTGAGATCTCTCTTCATCCCAAAGAATCTACACTCTAGCGGGGGAGATGGGAAACGAAAGGACAAATATTTATGCATCAGTTGGGTTGAGAGAGCAATCAATACTTCAGGGAAGGGAGAGCAAGGAAAACAAAGAAGAGAGTTGACAGGGGAGGGGAGCGAGGTTCCAGAATGGATAAGGTAGATAAGTAGCAGTCTTGACATGTGAAAATTAATGGTATATTTGGGGAGACAGCAAGCACATTAAGGCATAGATTCAAGGAGGGTTGGGGCTTAAGTTGTTTAAGTGAGACGAATTTTTTTTTTCTTAATGCTTTCCACACGATTTAGTCCTTGGAGGACTCACAAAACAGAGCAGGGTTGTCATCTCTTAATACTCACAGATCCTATCCCCTTAACTTTCTAGCCAAACTGAGTTTAGTCAGTCCTTAAACTCATCCCCTTCCCAAATATGAGTTATTTGCTCAAGACATTTCTTTCTCCTAGAAGGCCCTCTGCCCTGTTTCATAGGAGTGGTAGTTTAGTTAGTTACCTGGACTGAAGCCACCAATCTCTGCCACCAATCTCTAGCACCAAGCTTTCCTCAGAGAAGAAGATCAGAAATGTTAGGAGACTTCAATGTAATGAACTAATACAGAACTATGAAGTGTGTGTGTGTGCCCGTGCCCATGCTAATTTCACTTCCCTTTCCTTGACCTATCCACTCTCTGGTATATGTCAATAATGAACTGATTAAAACACTCACAGAAGGGAAGAAAAGATAAAGAGGAAATAGAGAAGTTGATGTTCATTCTAAACCCTCAGGTGTGTGATTTCAGGAGGAAAGAGGCTGTTTGTAAATAAATATACACACACATATAATAATTGTCCTTCACATTTATATAATAATTGTACTTTAAGATAATGTGAATACTTGCAGTGATACAGGTTAAATACCACTAGAGTGATAAAACCAAGGGACTACAGGATATCAGAGAAGGAAAATATCACCTTCAGCTATTAGAGATTCAGTGATTAGAAATTGAGAAGTAGCATTTGAATTGGGCCTTAAGCACAGATAGAATTTTAGCTGTGGTCATAGTTGTAATGGAAGAGTGCCAGGTACTATTCTGAGCACTTTAATTTTCTAATTCAATTGAGCCTCACAATGAACCCTGTGATACAGGTATTATTGTTCTTGTCATTATTATTATACCCATTTCCCAAATTAGGAAACTATGGCCTAGAGCAGTTAAGAGACCTACCCAAAGTCAAACAGTTAGTAAGTTATAAAGAGGGTATTTGAATATAGGTAGTGTTGGCTTCAGGCCAGTTAACTAAACTACCACTTACATGGAACAGGGCAGGGGGCCTTCCAGGAGAAAGAAATGTCTTGAGTGAAGAGCTCATATTTGGGAAGGGCAAGATGAGTTTAAGGAGTGACTAAAGCCAGTTTGCTAGAGAGTTAGGGGATAGGATCTGTGAGCATTGAGAGATGACAACCCTGTCCTGTTTTATTTTGTTTTGTTGAGACAGGTTATCACTCTGTTGCCCTCAGGGAAGTGCAGTGGTGCTATCAGGGCTCATTCCAACCCTGTCCTCTTGGGCTCAAGCGATCCTCCCAGTTCAGCCTCCCAAGTAGCTGAGACTCCAGATGCATGCCACTATTCCTGGCTAATTTTTAAAATTTTTTTGTAGAGACGGGGTCTTACTCTGTTGCCCTGTCTGTTTTCAAACTCTGGTCTCAAGTGAACTTTTTGCCTTGCCTCCAAAAGTGGTGGGATTATAGGTATCAGCAGCACGCCTGGCCTGACCACCCTGTTTTGAACTCTAGACTTCCCATGCATCTCCCTGCTTCATCTTTCTAGTACTTTATGCCATTATCTAACACACTACTTACTATTTTACTGGTTTATCACATTTATTTAGTCTCTCTTCACTTGATTGTTAAGTACCTAGAAGTTTGGGATTATTCAGATTTGTTCACTATTGTATCTTTGGTGACTAGAAGAATATCTGGCACTTTCCTATTGAGTATCTGTTGAATGAATGAATAGATAAGTTGAATCCAGATGACTGAAGGTTCCACAATATTCTACCAGTCTTTTACCTCTTGGGGACCCCACATAATATGTGGGAAGCCACCAATCAACCTTGATCATATCAATGTGTCATGTGTCAGTGCATTCACTGCTGCCCTTTGGAGGAGGGGGTGCTGCAAGAATATAGTGGAGAAATAGAAAGACATTGAAAGGATTCTGTGGTTTGAAATGCTTTTTTCTACTTGCATTACTCACTAGGAGTGGCTGCTGATGTGGACTGATTTTTAAGGGACTTCAGGAGACATTGCAACAAATCTCATCCCAACCCTGTTATAAGTACCTAAAGTCACATACTGTCGGATTTCACTTCCTGTTACTAATCACTGATTTTTCATTGAGATCCACTTTTTGTTGTTAGTACTAGTTTAGCATGCACTATACTAGCTAACAAGCAGCATGTTTCTGCTGTACACAGGCTCTTGGGCCAGACTATTGGGCCACCATGGTGTCCTGCCTCCATAGCTTGGACATATTTTACCTAAGCTTCAAAAATGGAAGCTTAGGTAAAATGGAATAATAGTAGTACTGGCTTTGAAAAATGGAATAATAGTAGTACTTTCCTCAGTGGACTGATGTGAGAATTAATCAGTTTATATATATATAAAGATTAAATATATATATAATCTTAAAAGGGTATATGGTGCTTACTTTGGCAACACATATACTAAAATTGGAATAATACAGAGATTAGCATGGCCCCTGTGTAAGGATGACATGCAAATTTGTAAAGCATTCCGTTTTTTTAAAAAAATGTCTGACACATAGTAAGGTATATAGAGACTTCGGATTGCTGGAAGGAATTCTTGGAAAGGAAGGTGAAAAAGAAATAAAGGCAGATTTTATTTATCTAACAGTTTGGCCAGAATCCTATGGCTAAAGATACCTTAACTTTGCTGTTTTTAGATTTCACCATCACTACCCTGAAAGATTATTTTGGAGAGTGTTGTTGGGTTTGATCAATGCCACATGACCATATGTTCTCACTCATGTGGGAGCCAAGCTATGAGAACGCAAAGGCATAACAATGATACAGTGGACTTTGGGGATTTGGGGAAAAGGGTGGTGGGTGGCGAGGAATCAAAGACTACACATGGGGTACAGTGTATACTGCTCAGGTGATGGGTGCACCAAAATCTCAGAAATCACCCATAGAGAACTTCTTCATATAACCTAACACCACCTGTCCCCCAAAAACCTATTTTTAAAAAGTTAAAGGTACTTTGGAGAAACAAACAAAAAAATGCCAGATGACATCCACCATCTGATGTATAAGATAGTAAGAACTGGACAGTACAGTTAAAGTCCTGTCACACCTGGAAATAGCATAGTGGTGGGGAGAAGGAATGAGGGAGAGAGAGAGAAGGGAAGACAAAGGACAGAGGAAGGAAGGATTCTGAAGAATGATGTTGTAAGCATCACTTATTTTATATATAGTGAAACAATTAAACAATCCCTTGGATTTTGCTATCAGGGACTTGACCTACTGAAGAATTTCTCCTTACTGTCATCTTCTTAAAATTTTTTAAATGAGTGAACTTCAGTTGAAGCTTCTCATACCCAGACAATTCTGATAAAATTGGAGTCCACACTTCATGGCAAATTAAGAAGCCCTCAAAATAGTAAGAATAACTCAAGATTGATGGCTTGCAATGGAGCTTGGTGTATTCTGTTAAGTAATTATGCTAAGGAAAGAGAAAATTAAATGTTATTGTTCAACTCCAGATGGAGATATTACTTTATTTTTATTTTGTCTATATAGTCCACAGCTTCTGTCTACGAAGCATTTTAAGTGACTCACATGAAAATAGTAATAATAAAATATTGAAATACAAGAAGATCAGAACAAAGAGAAGGCAACTATAATAACGTTCAACCCTACTCCAACTGGTCGAATCACTTTTCCACTGGGGTTTTATATTTGTTACTCTGGGTTTTTGAAAAACAAAAGGGCAGGAGAATCATGATCTATAACATATTATTTTTCATTATGGGAAAGAAGGAGAATGTGTCTTCCATAGGGAAAATGGAAGCCATTTGAGCATAATTCTAAGAAGACATTTTCTATAGAAGACATTGAGCGATTTTGAGCGATCTAATGAGTAATTCACAACATTGTTATAGTAAGTGTAGTTTTGAGTTTCTCATGGCCTTTTCTTACTGTGGCATTAAGTAAGGTTGAGACCCTAGTATTAAAATGCTGGGAAGTGATTTGGTAGTCTTCAGCAGGATATACTTCAACTTCATTCAAGGATAGCATTAGACATCCTATAGAGGAAGATGGATGGTCTGGCCCTTTCAATGATCTTCTCTAGAGATTGCTTCTCCCAGGAGGTCTGATAAAGAGCAGGGAGTCGGAGGTTTTATTTCCTGTCGGGGGCCTGAGGAGCTAGTACCACCGATTATGGAAAAATCCACATGTAAACATTGCAGCCCTGTGGGCAGTTGTTGGATTTTCACTTGTGAAAGTGAAGAATCCTGAGGGTCTTCTGGCCTGCCTGAAAAGTTGCCCACCTTCCAGAAATAGAAAACTCTTATAAATTATTATTGACTTAAAATTTAAATCCCCAGGCCGGGCGCGGTGGCTCAAGCCTATAATCCCAGCACTTTGGGAGGCGGAGGCGGGTGGATCACTAGGTCAAGAGATCCAGACCATCCTGGTCAACATGGTGAAACCCCACCTCTACTAAAAATACAAAACATTAGCTGGGCGTGGTGGCGCGTGCCTGTAATCCCAGCTACTCAGGAGGCTGAGGCAGGAGAATTGCCTGAACCCGGGAGGCGGAGGTTGCGGTGAGCCAAGATTGTGCCATTGCACTCCAGCCTGGGTAACCAGAGTGAAACTCCGTCTCAAAAAAAAAAAAAAAATCCCCAAAGTGCTTAGATAAGATAAAATCCGTATTTCTTAACTATGATGGTTAAGCAACTCTATCTCTCTGTGTCACATGAGTAGGTAATATGAGGAGAATGTTTTTATTTATTTATTATTATTATTATTTTTGAGACGGAGTTTTGCTCTTGTTGCCCAGGCTGGAGTATAATGGTATAATCTTGGTTCACCACAACCTCTACCTCCTGGGTTCAAGCAGTTCTCCTACCTTAGCCTCCCAGGTAGCTGCGATTACAGGCGCCCACCACCACGTCTGGCTAATTTTTTGTATTCTTAGTAGAGACAGCGTTTCTCCATGTTGGTCAGGTTGGTCTCAAACTCCCAACCTTAGTTATCCGCCCACCTCGGCCTCCCAAAGTACTGGGATTACAGGCATGAGCCACCATGCCTGGCCACGAGGAGACTGTTTATATTGTCAGCTATTGTGTGCTTCACATTCATACAACTCTTGTTTATTGAGCTTCTACTGTGAGCCAGGTTAATTTTCTGGATGTGTCTCTGCATACGGTATATTTTTATTTCCTTAAATTCTCTTTCTGGTCTTTGATGTGTTCATGTGTATATTTTTATTTTATTAGAGTTTTTTAATTATAAAAACTATAGGCACTTATTGTTTTAAGTTCAATTTTTCAGAGATACGTAAAGATATATAAAAGCTAATAACCTTTTTTTCCCTCTTTAATTTCCCAAGTTATTATCCAGGGTTATCAGTTTGATGCGGCTTCTTCCATACCTTTTTCTGTGCTCAGATAACTTTCTTAATTGTTCACTTCAATGTATAATATGAGTGATTTTTTTCAGTGGAGCCATACTTATTTTTGCTGGCAAGCAGGAGAAATTTTCCCTTAATTATAATTGATTTTCTATAGTGTACTTGTTTGTTTGTTTGCTCTGTCTTGAGGGAAGGGAGGAGAAACATTGTTATTACTCTCCAGAATAATTTAGAAGCTGAAGACTCCACCTGTGAATGGAACTTTTCCTGTTCCATTCTTGACAGGATCAAACTTGACGGGATATGATAAGTATGTATTTTCGAATGATGTCATCTTCCATCTGATGTCAACTTTTGTGTATATAGTACAAGTTTAGATATGCTCATTAATTTTGAGACTAGCTCCAGTGTCACAGTTTCAAATCTGAATACATCCTACATACCTTTCTCAAAAGCCAGTGCTCGAATATTCTTTCTTTTTTTTTTTTTTTTTTTTTTTTTTGATACGGAGTTTCACTCTTGTTACCCAGGCTGGAGTGCAATGGCGTGATCTCGGCTCACCGCAACCTCTGCCTCCTGGGTTCAGGCAATTCTCCTGCCTCAGCCTCCTGAGTAGCTGGGATTACAGGCACACGCCACCATGCCCAGCTAATTTTTTGTATATTTAGTAGCGACGGGGTTTCACCATGTTGACCAGGATGGTCTGGATCTCTTGACCTAGTGATCCACCCGCCTCGGCCTCCCAAAGTGCTGGGATTACAGGCTTGAGCCACCGCACCCGGCCTCGAATATTCTTTCATTCAACTTTTATCAAACAGGGAAGTCATCTGGTTTTTAGTATTACTTCTTGTGCATTTGGTGAGTGTACAGAATCCCAGACACAGCATGACCCTAAAGTTGCCAAAAAAGAAACATTTTGAAAATTTGAATATAAGTGGATCCCCCCCTTACTGATGGAAGATACATTCCAAGGCCCCCTGTGGATGCCTGAAACTGTAGATAGTACCAAACCCTTTACAGTTGTTCCTCAGTATCCATGGGGCATTTGTTCCAAGACTTTTCTCAGATAACAAAATCTGAGGATACTCAAGTTGGTGAGAGAAAATGGTGTAGTATTTGCGTATTACCTATGTACATCCTCCTATACACTTTAAATTATGTCTTGATTTCTTATAATACCTAATATAATGTAAATGATATATAACTAGTTATGCTCTGTTGTTTAGGGAATAAACACAAGGAAAAGTTTGTTACCTGTTCAGTACGAGTGCAATTATGTTTTTTTTTTTTTGAGTATTTTCAATCCGCAGTGGGTTGATCCACTGATGTGGAACCCACGGTTACAGAGGCCTACTACAGATACGATATATATATATTTTTTTTTTACATACCTGCTTATGATAAAGTTTAATTTATAAATTAGGCACAGTAAAAGATTAACAATTTAATAATTAAATAATTGTAACTATATACTGTAATAAAAATGAATGTGGTCTTTCTCTTTTTAAAAATATCTTGTTGGACTGTATCAAGGAAAATGAAACCATGGAAAGTGAAACTGTCTGTAAAGGGGACTGTTGTCTATAGTTATAACATCACGTTCATGCCTGTGATGATGCTTAAGGATGAGAAGTCTGAAACAGCATAGATAAGTATAAAAAAATAGAACTTCTTTATGTGGAAATCTTAAATAGCAGTGGTCTCTGAAACATTTCTAGATGCCCAAAACAATACCTGAAATGCTGTGTGCAGAGGGTCTCTTTCATATTTGAGTTATTGGGCATTTGCTCACAGAGAGTAAGAATATATTAAGGAACTCTAAGCCAACTTTTCAGTCTTCTCCATGCCCATTCCCTCTAGGCTGCTCCCACCCAAGAAAACTGAATACACACATGCACACACACACACATTTGCCAAAGTCTTGACTCTTAGACCTAAAGACCAGTAATTACGGATATGTGCCATGTATCAGTTGGACATCACCACAAGGTGTGTCTAAGAAAGCCAACTTTAGTATTCCCATTTTACAGACGGGAAGATAGGTGGCATGTGGGAGGAACAGTGACATGGAGGAAATAGTTCCAAAGTACACTGGCCATGTAGTAGTTAAATGAAAAGTAAGTCATTCCACTGCTAGGAAGCTGT